TTTTCTTGCAAATGTGACTTCAGCACCAAAGAGACACATTATATCGGATAAACCCATTATCATATAATTCATTGATCTATTTCATCAGCTGTTCTATCTCAATACGACTCGTGCGATAAGGGACAACTGAGATAGACTGGGTGTTAAGCTGGAGATTTATGGTGAATTTAACTTCCCTATCTACTGGCAATCCAGGTAGTCCATCAATGAGAATTCTCGAACTATAGATATTTCTTGAATACAAATTTTTTTCTAAGATTATCTAATGTAGAGAAGACAACCGAGTTAAAGTGATATATAACCAGGAAATTGCCATGAAGGAATAATATTTAAAACTTTTATTAACTATACATGTCTCTTCATTAGGAGGATTGAATACAAACTTCTTATGAAAATAATCTACGGTGGCATGATACGCTGCTAACCAGTTCATTCTCAGAATTAAATGAAAATCTCCTGTGTCTATCTCTATCGGGTCTACACTTAATTTTTTAATCTACTATGTCTATGATATAAGCTTTGTATATGATTTTTCCTAGAAGTGTCCTACTCCCAAGAGTAGACACAAATAACACAAATCAAGATTCTCAGGCAATATATTCAAGTATTTTTGCAAAAATATATGAGACAAATGAATGCTAAGCACCAGTATCAATTAAAATATATGCAATATGATTACAGATAGTATATGTACCCTGTATCATGTTCGGGTTGGATTCATCATCCTACTGGGTGAGGTTGTAAGCTTTGCCCTGGATAAGAGGTCTAGCCTGATTCTGATTTTATGGGCACTCTCATATATGTGGCATGTATTGTTGATGCGATAACAGGGTCGGTCCCCATGATCCTTACCACGATGCTGACAAGTCCTACCGCGTCCTGTTATCGAAGCCTGCGTGTCTAACCTATGCCTCTTATTCTGCGGTAGGACTTGTGGGGAAAAATCTCATACCTCCGGTTTCACATTACAGACTAGCACCAGCTACATCAGTTCCTCCCGGGCCTGCTGGGTAGAGATGAGTTTTTCCAGCATCTCAAAGAGTCAATCAATATCCTCTCGAAGCAACCTATCCCAGACTGCTCGGTTTAGTGATGGTCTGCTTCTCCTCATATCATTGTATCTGCATTTCACAAGAAAGGATTGAACGATAGTTTGTATTTGGTGTTTTTAAGTCTTTGTATAAGAAATAGTTCCGAGGAATTTAGCTCTGATACTAACTGTAATAGTCTGGATACTTAAAGAAAATGAATTTGTATTTTTAAATGCATAAACAAACAATAATGTTAGGGTTACATTCCTTATACAGTAAATTTGAATGCGTAACATGGCTACAGGAATGTACCTTCTACAATGGTTCGTAAAAAGAAACGAGTAAATGATTAAAAACAAGTAAATAAATGTCCTAGTGAGTTAAACTCTACTAGCACTTGATGTAGTTCAGAAAATAATCTACTCACAACCCTCCTACTGATCAAGATCTGAATTTTATTTTTCTTGATCTGAAGTGGTTAATAGAAGAGTAAGTTACATTAACCTAGTAAAAATATCACGCTAATAACTGATATGGGAAATCGAAAGTTAGTAAAAATTATAAAACAATTTATGATACTGAAATACTAAATTAGTATCTACTGAACTACTTACTGTCTAAATCGTGATACTGAATGTTGAATTATATTTATTGAATTATTTATGCCATGAGTTATGATACTGAGATGATGGGTTTTGAATGTTTATGGAAGAAACTGATTTGTAAGGTTTGGTTAATGAATTAGGGTGTAGATATCACGTATTTTTTGAAGTAAAGAGAAAAGTATTTTGAACCATCTCCGTCGGTAATTTTATATTTTCTACCAACTTGACATATTATCTTATTATTTGTTAGTTACTTACATGCTTACTGAACATATTAAGCTCACCCTATTTATTATTTATCTATTCTAGATCAGAATATTCAGAATTCTGCTCCTGAACAATAAAATATTTTCAAGAAGATTGTTCAATTTTTTTTTAATGAGTATTTATTTTAGAGTTTAGACATATCTCACGGACATTGAACATTTTAAGCTAAGTATGCAAGAAATGTACTTATTATTATTTTAAAATTTGTTGCGCGAAATATTCTTATAGATTATTTTATCATGATATGGTGTGCGTACGGTCAGAATTCTGCATGAGAGTTCGGACTGTCACACGGGTAATACAAGTTCTCTATTTGGGTCGACCAAAAACAAAGAGAAACATTTTATCAAGAGATAATTTTTTTTTTTTTAAGGTGTCTATCCTTATTTTTTTTTTTCTAATTAAATTATTTAAGGCTCCTTTGTTATCATCATAATTAAGTTTTGCACCGGTATCGATTTGCTTACATTATAAATCTCTTTATCCTGAAATGATACTATTTAAAAAAGTTTATATTAACCATTTTACCTTTTTTTTTGGTTTGGTTGTTGTTTAAAGATAATGTAATCTTAATAATAAGACACCAACTTGAAAACCGCATGCACGTAGACTATGGTTTCTCCCCGACACCAACTCTCTTCTTCTTCCCCTTTTATTTTTATTTTTTCTCTTTCAGTAGCATTAAAAATTAAATATCATTCCTCTATTTAATCTCTTCTTCTTACTGTCCCCAAAAGATGTGTTCATGACTACAAGACATGAAAACGTAATAATACCAAGATGACAACAATGGTAATAATCTCTCAAAACTCACTACTCTTAAATTTCAAAAATAGTAATAAATTATTGTTCATTTCATTAATTTCAATTAGTGATTTTCAAATTTGTCACCTGTTTTTAGTTTTTGATTGATTTTGATAATTAGGTTGTTCATTCAAAATTAGATAATCATAATTAAAAAAATAATAATAATCCAAAATTAAAAGATGAAAAAGTTCAATTCAACCAAATTGGATAAATCCTAGGGAACAAAGTTCATGGGCTTAAGGGCTAAAAAGTTTTCAGGTTTAAAGTTTATTGGGTTAAGAGAGCTAAAATGTCTGGACTTCTTTTAGTTCTCTTTTCTTCTTTTTTATTTTGTTTTACTTTTTAAGTGAAAGAATAATAATAATAATAATAATATAATGATTACGGTGTGCATAATATTAATCTTGTAAGTTAATCAGACACATTTTGTTTGATAATCTCAATTTTAGTGTTTTCTTTGTGATGTTTGTTTGTGTAATTAAGAGGTCTATTTCGACGATAAAAATTACCCATGTAAAAAATAGTTGAGAATTAATTGCGTATTTAAGACGCTATCCATATGAGTTAAATTAACTTTAAAGAAATGAGGATATGAAAAGTTATATTTCGGGAAGTAATTATTCAACTTAATTTGGATTAAAATTCATGTTACCTTGTGTTATTAATATTTAAATTATGAAACAAATATTCTAAATTAGTATGATTTAGCACCTAATATTCTTCTTAATTTCAAATCTTATTATTTTATTTCCGTTGGAAGCAGATTGAATTTCTTTTTTGGGTCAATTTGTTAAAATCATTTTAGTTAATTACAAGTAATTGCATAATGATTCTAATATCATTTATTTCTATTTTTGGACCAAAATAATATTTATATTTTAATTTTTACTAAATTGACTAATTTTTTTTCTTAATTTTTTATTAGTTCGTGTGTGTAGGACGGATTTAAAACCTAATTCTAATTTTTTAAAAAAATAATTACTCAAATTTCTATTACCACGTCATATCTGAAAAAAGAATAGTTTTTTTTTTTTTTTAATTATTTGCGTGAAATTGAAAATCAGCGGTTGCGCGTGGGATTGGAACTGCCTTAAATGCTACGAAGGCGTTGCCAGCTAGAGCTACGTTTCTGCACCCGCTGAGCGGACCCGGTTCAACCTAATATCCGGTTCAGTTCAACAAATGAACCGGGTTCGCCGTAGACTATTTCTCCCTCGGGAAGAGGCGTGTTAGCCAAGCATGGGTTAAAGGCATTCACTTTTTTGAAAGCTACTTTTATTGTTAATTTAAACAAACACCACCAATCATACTTACCCAAACACGCCCTTCACAAGCTCACCATATTACCACGCAACCCTCCGCTTTATCAACCGTCCGATTGACGTCACAAATTTAACACGATAAGATCGGACAGCTAGGATCTACAGGTGCATGCAAATCCCATGTACCTGACCTACGCCGACATAAAACCGAGGGGGTCGTAGAAAACCCCCCCCAAAAAAAAAAAAAAAAAAAAAAAAAACATAAACCAAGGGCTTGTGTTCGGTCCTCTCTCGTGCTCTCCCTCTCCCTCTCTCTCTCTCTCTCTCTCTCTCTCTCTCTCTCTCTTCTTTACCTTAATCGACCAAAACCAGGGTTTTGTTTTTGTCAATCTCAGGCTTCGTTGTTATTTTCCTCTCTTTTTCTTGCATATAAATAAAAATTGAGGAAATTTTCTTTTTGGATAGTCATCGTATTGTAATTCTGGTTTTGTTCGTCGATCGACAGCGATAAGAGAAGAGAGAGCTTGAGAATTCAGTGTTCGATTTGGTGGTCGAGGTAAAGAGGTATGCTTGCTTTAGATTTATTCTTCTTTAATCTTTTATCTTTATGCTGTTTGGTCAAATAATTGATCGTCCGGTTCTGTTGATTTTCTCTTCTTTGGGGAATTTGAAAAATCGAGAATTTCTGGGTTGTGGATGAGAAAAACCTGGAGAAATGCTTGATTAATCTTTTATTTTTTTTAACTTAAAGATATTATTATGAGAAAAAAAAAAAAGGATTTAATTAGACGTAACTGCGTGATTGATTATCTGGATTCTTGAAAAAACCGAAACGGAACGGCTTTGATTTTTTCTCTTAATCACGTCTCTTCTCCTCTGCGTGTTTTTTTGGAGGGTAATTTGGTATTTTTAATCAACTCCTTAATATGGTTTAAACAGATTAATCACGTAAATTAGTTTGAAAAGACTTTTCTGTCCATAATACAAATCTTAATCCCGGGGGTATGCTTTTAATAGCAACCGCCATTGGAGGGTATATTTGTAATACGACAAATGATAACTCAGCTTATCTCCGTGTTACTTACCGTGAAGACTCTTTTAACCAAAAGAAGAAAGAAAATATTTGTTTTGAAATAATCGCGTGACTTTTCTTTTGACTGTTGAGATTTGCCGTAGAAATCAAGAACCGGAATACCCCCAAGCCCGAAAAATCTGTAAATTCGAGACGAAGAGAAACCCTAATCCTGCTTTTCCTCCTGTTCCTGTTTATTTGGCAACAGAGGCAGCACAGCAAACATCATGGGGTCTGAACAGAACGACGGCACAAGCGTTCCTCCTTCGGAGCCCAAGCTCTGCGCCAACGGGTGCGGCTTCTTCGGGACGGCGGCCAACATGAATCTCTGCTCCAAGTGTTACAGAGACCTCCGCGTCAAGGAGGAACAAGCGGCCTCTGCAAAGGCAGCTGTCGAGGAATCTCTTAACCCCAAACCGCCAAAGCAACAGGAACAACAGCCTATTGCTGCGAGTGTGGTCTCTGTCGCCGCTTCCGCCACTGCTGCGGCCTCTTCCAGTGGAGTCCTCACGGTCGGTGGCCACCAGGTCGAGCCCAAGGTGGCGAACCGGTGCAGTAGCTGCAACAAGAAGGTGGGCTTAACAGGGTTCAAGTGCAAGTGCGGGAGCACCTTCTGCGGGGTTCATAGGTACCCGGAGAACCACCAGTGTATCTTCGATTTCAAGGGTGCTGGTCGGGATGCCATTGCCAAGGCAAATCCTGTGGTTAAGGCTGATAAAGTGGAGAGGATTTGAATGGACTATTGGACGGTAATTTGGTGTTCTTGATATTGGGTTCTTTTTCAATCTTCCCCTACTTTTTGGTTGGCTGGTTGGTCATGGGTGGGTGGTCGGCTTAGGCTTTAGGCGTAGGAGTGTTGGCTGTTCTGGGTGCTTTATGGCTAATGTTTGTGTGGGTGGGGATAGATGGAGACTGTTGATTCCATAATAAAGTGGATCAATGAATTGTTAGTTGCACTTTGCTTCTTAATGCGTTTGGCTTTAATCTCTTATAATGCTATGGATCTACCCTTTATATATATGTATGTACTTGTATCTAATACTCTCTCTTTTATGCAATCGGCTGCCCCTGAGGCTGGGTTGTTGGTTTAATTTTTCTATTCTACTTTATTGCCAAGAATTTAACTTCTTGTGTCTGTTGGATACTTGTGTACTGACTAATGATGCATGAGTTGTATGTAATCCTATAGGCATGATGCTTCATTTGCTCCTACGACCTCCATTATCACCTCTCTTCCATGATATAAGGCTTACTAAGTTTAGCTAGGAATTGCTGTGAGATCACTTGATTTTTTTATAGTTAAGGCAAAAGGCATTTTCATTCCTGAGATGTGCAGAAGAACTATTTGATTCTGGTCCTTTATGTGTATTTGTCCTTTAAATAGCTCACTGTTATTTCTGTTGCCATTTCCTCTTGTGTTATGGATGATTTTCCCCTTAAGAATTACAATTTGGCTTGTTAGAATTGCCAAGTTACCATGAATTGGTATCTCTTTGTAGATAGATTTGCTAAGAATGGTTTTTGAATCCCTCGCAGTTAATGAATATAATGGTAATGAGCATGTAAGTCATTTGACTTAGAATCAAGTTACTTGCATCTAGGCTGCTTTTAATTTTGAACTTCTAGAACTTATTTAGGGTTGTATTTGCAGCTATTGCCCTTTGCTACCTGGACTAGTGAAATTTCTTTGGATTGGGTTTCAAAATTGCAAATTTGTAGTGTTCAGTAATCATGAATGTGCATGGTGAAGAGCTTGAGCAGTGAGTAGCATAAGGTTTAACCATTAGTGAGTGCTTCTGCTGTAAATCCTACTGAATCTCTTTCTATTTTGCTTTCAAGGTTGGTATCCTTTGGTTAGAAATTGCTTGTCTTGATTTTGTTTGATCTATTAGTGAGAAAGTTGCTCGCCGAAGTGGAAGCATTTATTTAATGCTAGTTTCAACATTGTAGCAATTGGAATGTCCGTGGACAGGTAGAGAGGTATGATTAGCAACTTAAACCTTAGATGTTATGATGATAGTGTAAGAGATCTGAGGTGGGAAGGATTATTTGATATGACCAGAGATATTAACTAAAGTCTCTCAACTAGAAGACTTTGATATGAGCCATGAAGTGTTCTTACTCTCTGGGGGTAGAATAGTAAGGCCCCCCTGGAGGTTGAGGTCCCTGGATGGATTTTCTCTTCATCCTTTGCCTGTAAGAATCTGTTACCTTCTCAAGTTGGTTCCCAAACTTAGGCTGTGATTGAAAGATGTGAATTTATTTGATTTTTTTTTTTTCAAAATTTTCCACTTATTTTAACTATAAAAAGGTGAAGCTTCTTTTAGAAACTGATATCTTTCAGTCCAATGAAACTGACTTGATTACAAATTTGATTATGTTCAATTTTTATCACTTTGTATCAGAGTTTAGTTATCATATAATTGAAATAAGTGTAATGTCCAAATGAAGTTTAATTTGTTCAAAAGATAGTTGTTGGTACAATATGGCGTAAGCTAAAATTGTGAAGAAATTTATTTGCAAATTCACAAATGCATTGTTCTCTCTACAAGGGACTTTTATACCGAAGTCAGTATCTGTGTCATCCTAACAAACTAATTGTGACTATTATTTCAAAGTGGATTTCATGAATGCCCCTTCAGGGGATGGGCTCAAGTCAAACTAGTTTGTACCTTTTCGAACTGCTGTCTAGAATCGAATGGAATTTAATTCACGAATTCTGCGATGAGTTTTTGGATCACGTAACCAAAGTGGATTAGATGAAGTCCTTTGAAGCGGCACCAAAGTGGATTTGGGTGAAGTAAACTACTTCAGCAATGGTTCCGAGAAATACTGGAAAATTACAACAATTCAGTTGGATGGAAAGGAGCTTAATTTGAGTTGAAAGTATTACTCATGTTTGTACTTGAGGGATTTAGGGACATGACGCCCTTAGTTTTGCTGAGATGATTAGTAATTTTCAGGGAATAATGGACAACTTATCATGGTTAATTCTTCAAGTAAAGAAGTGGAGCCAAGGGGAGTGAGTTCAGAGACAGAAGGGTCATAGTTGAAGCTGAAATGGGAGAAAGTAAGCTCCAAAATTCAAGTGTTGGCGTGACTAGGCATGCAATTTGGGTTTGCTAAAGTGCAGCTCTTGAAGTGGTGGGAAGCTTGTGGCCTTGAGGTGGTGGTAAATGTTGGAGGAGGGGGATGCGGTGTGGTCAATAGCCTTAACAGCACAATAGCCTCATGTAGTTGCAGTGAGCATGGGGATATTTTCTCTTTTGATGGAGCGTACATAATTTAGTAGGCAATTATGGATTAATTTTCCACATCTCATTTTCTCGAATATCTTTTAATCATAGGAGAACCATTGAATGTCCTTTGAAACATATCATGTGGTGGCGGTAGCATTATTATTAGTAAGCTGTTATGACTTGTGCTGTACTACATAAACTACTAAACTAGGCTATTATCCGTATTGCATTCAGAAAAATTATACGCATGCCTACCCTGGGATTGTTTCAAGTTTTTGAACAACTGTTTTTGATGTTTATGTATATGACAATGGATTATAGAGTCGTAGTGTAGATTTCCCAAAATCCCTTTTTGAGAGAATCTGTATTATGACATGTATATATGAGATTGCACCCATTTTCTGGACCACTAACTCTCAGCTTTCTTATTGAAGAGTCTTCATCTGGGCATAGTGAAAGGAGATACATGAATAAAGGCTGCCCGGTGGTGGAGCAGTATAGACTTCTCTCTCTCTCTCTCTCTCTCTCTCTCTCTCTCTCTCTTACAAACAATTATAGACCTGATAATAATTCATGGATTGACCTTTAATGCTTAGTCACCATTGATGGGGAATTGAGGATTCCTTTATTATTTTCTCCCTTCTTTTTTGAGTCCCTTGCACTTTTTGAAGCTAGAGGATAAAGCCAAACTGTTCACTTTGGGCAAAAGAGTATTCCATTTCTTGAGTTCTATCATAGAATCTCAGGCTATTGCCTGTCTTTCTTGCCCCCCATATCTTCACTTAAAATCAACCTCTTGCATCTTTATAAAACTAGCATGACTCATGACAACTCTTCTAACAAAATGGTTGGTGGAGTTATTGCAAATCCCGTTTCCATTTATTGTAATACCCAAAGAAATTGATGGTGCATTGTCATTCATGTGGGTAATATTTTTCTCTCTCACTACCCATGTAAAGTTCTTTTTAGGTAAGAGTATGGATTAACACTTGTTTAATTAACTTCATTCGGTGGACATATTACCCACTAGAAATTCATTTGCTAGTTCAACTGTTAAATCATATTATTTGATCTTCACCAATTTACTTTAATTTAGGTGGTTGAGTGTGTAATTAGAAATCAGCTTCTCCTCAAAGCTGATGTTGGCTTCTCATCTATTCAAAATTTAATGTACTTGCAAGGTACCATGACCCACAAACCATGTGAAATATAAAGGTAGTAGTGATTAACCATTTACGGGGGGGGGGGGAGCTCTTTGTACCTTTTCATTTTAACTCAAACTTCTCAAGCTTTTTCTTCTCTCTTTTCAGAAGTAACATTCATATCCTTGTACCTCAATTAATGGGAAAACCAGAGTCACTTTATGTATGAGAAGAAATAAAATATTTTTTGTAGCTTTTGAGATGCCAAAAAGTTTTGTTTAAAAATGACAAATGGCGTCTAAACAAATAATGGGTATTTGAAATAGCCTTGTGTTTTCATATATACATACAATCTTTTTGGCAGCTTTGAAATTTGAATCTTGTATATGTAATGGAATTCGAGGGTCCATTTTTGCACTCACTTTCTGCTCTTTTTATTTTCTTCCTCTTTTAAAGTGAAAAAACTATCTATCAATTCACTCCTGCGTTAAAATTTCAAAATTCTAGTGCCAATTTCCCACACTACCCTCATAATCAGTGCTGATACTTAGCCGTACCCACCTTCCCATATTTGGCTGTACATTAACATTAGCTTTAATCCTCCTAGTTCGATATATATATATATATATATATATGGTAATCTTACCTAATTTCCCTTTTAAAAAAGAATTAAATTTACCATCTTCAACTTAATTAATATCATTAGTAAGAACTACTTTTGAATCACTCAAAGCCTAGAAGAGTTTAGAAGTGGATTACATAATCAATTTCTTTGATTACTAGAAATTTTATTCATTAGTTATATTAAATTTATAATGATGTCTGATATATATTATGCTTTAAAAAGTTATCGAAATAAATTTTTTTTAAATATTTTTATAATAAATTTTATGTTATTACATTCATTTTATTTCTATAGAAGTACGGAGTATTAATAGTATTAAAATGTAAATTAAAATAATAAGCAATTCTAGTAATAAAATATTATTTTCCTTTTCTTATTAACATTATAAATTTTTATTACTATTATAATTATATATTTATCGTTCTTGTAATAAGATTAATAAATTTTTAATTACTTCTTACGTGATTATGTAGAATTTGAATTAAATTTAATGACTAATCTGGCCAAATATCATATCAATAATACCAACCATCTAGAAATGAAGTATATATCAATCAATTCATGTAAGTAAATAATGGTGAAACAAAGCAAAAAAAAAAAAAAAAACAATGTAAATATTGATGTTATATATAAACTCCTACTTAACTATGTTAATCCCATACAAAATTCTATTGTGTATACATTTACACAAGTATCATAATATTCACTACAATATTTAATGAGATCAAACATTTCCTTGTGAGTGGTATAATGTGTTATTTCATTTGAACTAATGTTACATGAGTCAAATTAGTCTTTTAATTAAGAAATTTTATATACTACTTTTAAATTTCGTGATTATGATCTATTTATTACTAGTAGTTTAATATATATTTGTTATTATAGTCTCCAATGTAATAAATTTGAATAATTTACCTTATACCAATAAAATAAAAAATTGCAATGTTTTTGAAAAGATTATTATGAAAATTGCCCATTTTACATGTTATGTAGAAATCTTCTTCAAGGGTAGGTTGGGTTTATTTTTGTTTTTATTTTTATTTTTATTTTTATTTTTATTTTTCTTCCTACAATTATCTTGCCTTCCTCATTTATAAAAAAAATGATGTTTAAAATTGCTTATTTTATAATTATAATAGTTTTAGACTCTTTGTTTTAGTCTAAGTATTTGGTAATATAAAAATTATAGCACTTATTTAAGTTATTAAAAGTGATTTTTCAAAAGATAAATAATAAGTACTTTATTCCTAAATCTTTAAGTTTCTTATCTTTTATTTAACGAAATTACTTAATTACTTTTAGTATTTTATAAAAAAAGATATTTATAGTATGCATGTAATCTATTATAATTGATATATATTTTTTGCCATCATCAATTATTCAAATGTTTTTAAGATAAATAAATATATATGTATTTAAGTAAACGAAGACACTTTAATATTTTAAATGTAATAATTAATAATTGATTATACATTATGATTTTTTCAATAAATCCTTCCAATAGAAGGGTAGATATTTGATTATTTCAATATTATTTAAATTAAAAAAGCGTAGATTTCAAATAAAGATTTAATTAAAGTCGAGGAGTGCCAACATTATTTTTGAAAAGTATATTAAAGTATTAAGCTTTTCTGATTGTTTCTGCTTTATTAATGGATTGAAATTCAAACCCATTAAGCTTGAATTGCTTTGGAGAGATATACTTAATGTAAGTAATTGAGACACAGCCTAGTGAACTGAACTCAATACTATATATATATATATATGTATATATGGGTTGATATTAATCAACATATATTTTCAATAAATAATTACTATATGACTATACGTGCTTCAATAATGTGACTTAACAGCACCAGAACACACTCTTCTGTATTATTATTGTCCCATCCACCAACTAGCTATATTTGATATTGTTAAATAATCCCATCCACATTGCATAATCAACTAATTATAATAAACCATGATACTCATAACTAAAACATATAGTTTATGATTTAATATAATGACCATATGATAATTATATATTTAAATTTTACACTAATGTTTTGAAAAAATTTTAGTTTTAGAAGTTTCTATTTATTAATCATTTTGGAAATTATTTATTCTCTGACGATTCGTACAAGACGGAAGTGAAGAATTTGCAATTGGCGGTTAGAATCTAATCACGCAAATAAAATGGTTACTTAACGGAGGGGCAAATCAGTCATTTCAATGCACACGACGCCACCATACTGCCGTAATTAAACAAATCATCACCGTCACGAAATAGGTAGGCAACGTAATTCGTGGATCCATGAGGGGTATAAACGTAAATTCATCTCAAAAGAAGGGGGTTGAAAGTCTGGGGCCCACCAATACCACGATTTTGCTCCTCCTTCCTCTCCCTCGCCTCACTGCTATCAAGTCTTTCTCTTCTCAACAACACCAGTCTCTGCCTTTGTAAACTTGAATTTCAATTGCATTCCGAGAGATAATTCGCGGATAGGCATTTTTACCTTGGGAACTCAACAAACAATTCATGGTTGAAGTGTTAAGCTGTATTTGAAGACTCGCATTCGGTGTTCCTGTTTTGAAGAATGGCTTTCATGGGAAGTGGAAATTATAGAAATGGGACTCACAAAAACTCTCTCAAGTCTCTCTCGCTAAACTCTAACCTGAACTCTAACTCTAGACCTGCAGTCAAATCCAAGTCATTGCCGCCTTCTGGAATCCGCAAGAGTAGCTCTTCCTTGCTCGCCGGTGCCACTGGAGCTGCTAAAGATGATGCAGGCGGTCAGCTCCTTTTTCTAATATTTTTTTTTATTTATAATTTATCTTCTTCCTCCTCTTGTTAATTGTTATGTTTTTTTTTTTTTGTTTTGTTTTCCCCGACATCTTGGTTCTCTCTCATATTTTGTTTTTTCTTAGTTGTCGGTTTTCTCTGTGGATTTCTGAAATGTAAGTTAGGCGTCAACTCTCTGCCTGTGTTTACTGTTGCTCAGCTTCTGTTCCTCAACTAGTGGCTTTCTTCTTTTCTTTATTTTATCCGCCGAATTTGCTCCCAAAATGCTCTCTTGATGATGATAAAAATCAGGAGGCTTCAACTATTGTCGATCGTGATTTTCTCCTTACAGCATGTTTTGCTTCTTACTTTAGCTGAATTCTCTTTTGAATTGGCTGCGACTGCAAATTATGTATCCATAAGCGATTTTCTTCTCGGTTTCTTAAATGCGTGAAAGGACGGTCTTTTTGTAAATATAGACCCCCTGTGGTGATGGAGATTTAGGGCTATAATGACGGAGAGTAATTAAGCAGCCAGTAAAACAAGTTTCTAGTTCTATGATCAAATCATTACGATAGGTGTTTTATAACTTGCTTCACTTTTTATTTTAAAAACCTGATTTTTGTCGTAATGTGGCCGGTTAAAAGAGATAAGACAAAATTCATTGGAAGTTGTCCTCTGCGTTTATGTTACTTGTGGTTTTTCTTTAGTTCCTGGAAGGGTTCGAGTGGCTGTAAGATTGCGGCCCCGTAATGCAGAGGAACTGGCAGCAGATGCTGACTTTGCTGATTGCGTAGAGTTACTGCCAGAGGTATCCTGATGCATCTTTCAGTTTTATAAGATCTTCATCTGATTACTATTAGCTAACTGTTGTATGGAGGGCTTATATTTTCAAAAAGTAACAGCAATTCGCACTTTGTATGCTCTGTTCAGCTTAAAAGATTGAAGCTTCGAAAAAATAATTGGGATTCTGATACCTATGAGTTCGATGAAGTGCTCACTGAGTTTGCATCGCAAAAACGTGTTTACGAAGTTGTTGCTAAGCCTGTTGTGGAGGTAATAGATGATCTAAAGAAATAATCTTGTTGAAATTTTCCCTTGTGTTGCTTGTCAGCTATTAAATTCTGAAGACATAAGGGATGTATTTTGGACTTCTAAGTCGTAGATTATTCAGTGCTGGGTTTTGTAATGCTAGGTTGTGAATCTATTTTAGTTCAGTATCCTAGAGAGTTCAGGTAACATGTTCTATTATGGAAGCTTTGTGTTCTCACCCAAATTGTATAATTGGTCATTCAAGTCTACACTTTAACAAGGCTATCGTACTTGCTTCTGTAGAGTGTTCTGGATGGTTATAATGGGACAGTCATGGCATATGGGCAGACTGGTACTGGTAAAACATATACACTTGGACGGCTTGGAGAGGAGGATACCGCTGACCGTGGGATAATGGTGCGTGCTATGGAAGATATTTTGGCAGATGTTTCTTTGGAGACTGATTCTCTCTTTGTCTCCTACTTGCAGGTGGTTTGTCCCATACATAAATCTTGATTTTTAATTTTCTGAAGATTTAACTTTTCATTTCCTTGTTATCACCTATGAGGATTTTGAAGTAAATTGCTTCATGTTTCTATTCACTGAACTTGCAGCTTTATATGGAGACCATACAGGACCTTCTTAATCCTTCTAATGATAATATTACTATTGTGGAAGACCCAAAAACTGGAGATGTGTCAGTACCTGGGGCTACAATGGTTGAGATTAGAGACCAGCAAACTTTTGTTGAGCTCTTAAGGTTGGGAGAAGCTCATCGCTTTGCTGCAAACACAAAACTGAATACTGAATCTTCTCGCAGTCATGCTATTCTAATGGTGAGTATTTTAATCTAATGTTTTTTTGGACTTTTGGAGAATTCAAGAGTTAATTCAGAAACTTTAAGCTAGTCTTACAGTGGCTTCAATACTTATTTCCTATGCTACAGGTACATGTAAAGAGATCAGTCAAGGGAAGAGATTCAGCTCTTTCAAGTGAAAATGGTGGCAGCTCCCACATGGTTAGAACTCTTAAGCCCCCTGTTGTTCGGAAGGGCAAGCTGGTTGTAGTAGATCTTGCTGGTTCAGAGCGGATTGATAAATCAGGTGAGTGCATCCGCTTATCAATGTGATAAATTCCACTAATCTAGAAAAAAGAAAGATAAAAGGAAATCTGAGTAATATTCTTTTTTAAACATCTAAGCTTTTAGTCCATGAAAATGCTTGATGCATATACATCAAATATTGTCTTGTGATGTAACCTATATATTCTCTTTGGCAGTTTTTTGCTTAAAATTTGTTTTTTCACCATAAAACAGCGAAGGGTATTTGATTATTTTTTGACTTAAAAATATGTTTACAATTTTGTAAAATTTTTAATAGCTGAGAACTTAAACTTTCCAATAAAACCTCTTGGTACTATCTGATTTTCATTTGCAGGAGCCAGCTGGCCGCTTATAGTTCTTCCTATAGAGATTATTATGTAAAAGAGATTTATGCATTCTTATTCTTTGGCTATTTTTATGTATGACTTATTAGCAAGAAGCTTTTCTATCACATGTTGAGGTTTCTTATTTTGGTCCTAATTTTTTAGGGAGTGAAGGACATACCCTAGAGGAAGCCAAATCTATCAATCTGTCTTTGAGTGCATTAGGGAAGTGCATTAATGCATTGGCAGAGAATAGTGCTCATGTTCCAGTTCGTGATTCGAAGCTTACTAGATTGCTTCGTGATTCATTTGGAGGCAAGTTAGATAAGCTTTTTCTTTCCTTAATATTAAGGTTTCAACTCAACTTTGAACAAATTGTTTGAGTACAATTTTCCTTTCATCAGATTTATGCTTAATTAAGTTGTGATATGGATACTCCAAGCTTTTGTGACATCTTTTAGTGCTTAATGTGTGTGGTTCTTTAACACTTATTTATTTATTTATTTTTACCTTCTGTTAAATGATCATGTGAGCTGGATGATTGGAGGTTTACCCATTAGATTTTTGTGCAACCAATTTCTTGGTACAAGCTCTTAAATTGGTAACATGGAATATGTTACCGTTGTATCAAGGGTTGTATCCTCATGTCATCCTCGTGTAGTTTATGCATAAGGATGAATTGATGCTATGATCTGCCTGATAGATGATATCTTATTAAATTGGGCCATGTATCTTCATCTTCCGAAAAGAAGTAAAATTTTCGTTGATCCTCCATCTAGTTTTATTTTAGAAGTGGTAGATTATTCATCATTGCAACCAAGCCATATGGGTAAAGATTGCAAAAAGTAATGCCTAACTATGTGAATATTGTTCTTAACAGGCACAGCGAGAACATCGTTGGTGATTACTATTGGTCCATCTCCACGTCATCGAGGAGAGACAGCTAGCACTATAATGTTTGGGCAGAGGGTAAGTTCCAATACACACTGACAAAAAGACATAAATGTATAGTTAAAAGGTTAAATGCATTCTTGGTCCTAGCCTTTCATTCAGTTCATATTTTGGTCCTTGACCTTTCAAAGCATACAATTCAAAAGTCAACTGTACCTAAACGTTTCAATTTAGTCTACTATGTGAAAATTAGCTTTGCTACATAGATGTCACGTCATAAAAAATTGATAATATAGTGTTAAGGAAAAACTATTTTTTGTAACAAGTGCAAATTGATATAGTATCACATTTTCATTAATAGTTTAACAAAAGCTAATCAATAAAATTTATAAAGTGAGATTTCTATCAAAATATTAACGGAAATATGATACTATATCAATATGTATCCATTTGAAAAGATAATTTATTTCCAAATTGGGATACCACAGAATTAAAATGTTGACCGTGTGGCATACATCTAATGTTTTATGTCCAAGAACCATTAGCTCGACAACTTTTGGGCCTAAAATTTACTTCCAAATTTTAAGCTCATATTATTGGTATTGTGTGATTTGAGTTCTTATATGAAGCTCAATAATTACATATTTTTCAATCACGGAGTTACATATCACATTCTAAAACACTCAAATTTTTTATGTTCTCATTAAGGTCACATATTTCAATCTCAAATCACAATATAAACAATTATAAGGTCTAAATTGCACTAGTTTGGGGTCAATGAGCACATTCATAAAACTCTAAGCTCAAAACTGCTAGTTCAACAAGTTTGATACACAGACCATTAACCTTTAAAAGTTCAAGTTTGAAGTTATTTGTAATGTGTGACATGAGATTCTATGTAGAGAACTTACCGTTAAAAATTTAAGTTTTAAGTTATTGATAATGTGTGACATGAGATTTTATGTAGGGTTCACCAATTGCATTTTTTTTTGGGTGTAGAATTATAGTATCACTGTACATTTCACAGCTTTAAAAGTTCAAGTTTCAAGTTATTGGTAATGTGTGACATGGGATTTTATGGAGAGAACTCTTTTTGAAATAAGATATTTTATGTAGAGAACTGGCCTTCAGAAATTCAAGTTTCAAGTTTTGATAATGTGTGACACGAGATTTTATGTAGAGTTCAACAATTACATATCTTTTCAGTGTAGAATTATAGTACCACTATACATCTCACAGCCTTACTTGATTTTAACAGAATGAGACAGAATGATTAAATTGATATGTTTATGAAAGGATAGGTCATCAATTGTATGCTCTGAAAGGCCAAAATAGGAAATGGAGAAAAGTTCAGGGATGAAAAATGTATTTAAGACTATGTTCAAATGACTGGAGACTGAAATATACCTTTCTAAAGTCAGAGTGTTCATATGTTCAATTTTTTAAATCTTTTGCTAACTTCAAATATCCATTTTTTTTGCATGATATCTTACTGGTCTGGATCCTTATTGTGAAGTTATAAGATGTTGGCAAATGTTTTTGTGAGATACTGTTGAAACATATTATAGATCTGTAACTTGGGCCTTTGATTAAACAGTAATTGTATTTCTTTTGATTCTCACAGGCCATGAGGGTGGAAAATATGCTGAAATTAAAAGAAGAATTTGATTATAAAAGTTTGTCTAGAAGGCTAGACATACAGTTAGACAAACTCATTGCAGAGAATGAAAGGCAGAAGAAAGTGTTTGATGATGAAATTGAAAGAATAAACTTAGAAGCAGAAAAACGGATTGCTGAGGCTGAAAGAAACTATGCGGATGCTCTAGAAGTGAGTTTTTGGACAATCTGTTGCCATGAAATCTACTTCATTTTTGTGTGTGTTCATTCCAGAGGGAGTATATGTGAAAATCCTAGGAAAATATCAAAATAAGGATTCACTTCCTTGTAAAGGAGTAGCGGTGGTGATTTTTGATGATAAGTTCAGTAAATTGTTTCTCAATTTTTTTTTGCACATGGGCACCTATCCTAAGTGTGAAACAGCAGTTGATTCAAGTAGCAGTAGCAGGGATAAAGAGGGGAAGAGTTATTGGAAGTGAAGTTGGTTGAACTACTGATAAAAGATAATTGTGAAGCAAATATTAATTGTTTTGCCCTAAAAAATATGGAATCAAGGATAAATGATTCCCCTAAATTTTTTCCTGGACAATAATTAAGATTTTTGTAGGTCCTCTATGTATAGTTGATACCCTTGTTGTGCAGTTTTAATCGCATTTTCTTTTTCTCTTTAATTGGATAATATGTCTTAAATAATAGATTGAACTAATTATTTCAAAAGTTTAAATTAATAGAGGAATGCAACCTATATTATGTTAACAAAATGGAAAAAAAATGACTCATCTAACTAGTCCAACTAGTTTGGATTAAGGCGTATGTGAATTGAGTTGAGCGAGCACTTACGTTGAGAGTGTGTTTAGACTTATGAATGCTAGCAAATACAGGCATGTTTTATGTGGTGTATTTGAGTTATTTTTTCAATTTAAATTTTAATGTAATAAGTAGATAATATTAGTCGTGTCCCTTTAAAGCATGTATTAGAAAGTGTTAAAAAGGTTGTTTACTCGTTTTGCTCTTCATTTTAGATTCAATGACTGCTGCTTGTAAATATACTATTGTGCCTTATAAAAGATAAGTTCTGAATGCTTGTTCATAAGAAAGAAACATTTTTGAATGTCAATACTTGTTATATGAGTGAAGGGAACAGATTGATTTCTATTCTTCTGCCGTGAACTTCATTACTATAACTTTGCAGTCATTTGGCATAAACTTAATATAATGTTTTACTATTTGCATGATTGATCTGTTGTCTTGGGTTTTATCCAACTCCCAACTGGATCAATGTAATTACTTTTATAGAAGGAAAGATTGAGATATCAGAAAGATTACATGGAATCGATAAAGAAGCTTGAAGAAAAATGGGTGATGAATCAGCAGAAACTGGGCAGTGAAGTTGGATACAAAGATGATAGTCCAGATATGTCATCTAACGGGAAGGTAACTTATTACAAACAGATATTGAGCACATCTCCTACAAATTCTTTTCTTTTTTTTTTCTGATGAGAAAATTTGGGCATGCTGAGTATCATGCATAAACTGAAACACTCTGAAGCTACAAAAATAGTTATTAAATCGTTAGCACCGCATAAAAATAATTCTCATGGAGTAGTTGTGAATATGAATAATAGAAACTCTGTTATAGTTTTTATGTACATTCAATATACTCTACGGATAAAGGAATATAGAGAGTTGAACATAGTAAAATAAGAAATTGAAATATTTCGTTAAAATTGTTCGTTTGGAAATTCCTGAAAAGCTAATCATAGGCTCTTCTCTCTATCGGAATAATAGTGTCATTGTACTCATTACTAAACTTGTTGAAGAGTTGAAATACAACAAAGGTATATTTTTTTGATCGGAGGTTGAATCGATCAGCAGAAGTAAGAATTAGGCCAAAAATTAGAATACGTTCTAGAAAATTAAAACTTCCATCGAAGAGAAGCAACTAAAAGGTTTTCATAAAAATTCTTGTAAAATCGAGAATGAAAATTTCATTTTGTACATATCAGATCATGAATTAGTTACTGCATACTGAATTTAATGCAAATAAAGCATTAAATCTCATGTCCCATGCCTATTGACAACATGTTTCTCTTCATTATAGCATTAGTTATCCTTCTATATTTCCTTTACATTTAATGCAAATTCAGCCTTACATTTCATTGTATCGATGAAATATCTATGCAAGTTATGTTAACTTTGCTTGTTGTTCACCCATTCAACCTTTCTGACAGCTGTGATTTGTCTACTGTAAAATAGAGAAAAGGGGGAGTTGAAACCTGCAAATTTTGCCATGTTGGAATCTTCATGTATCCCATTCTGTGAATGGTCAGACTATGGTGTTTTTTTAGGTGTTATTATAAAATTGAAGCAAGGAGAATAAACAGACGAAACATAAGATTCAGAATGTCATAATGGTATGACATGACACTTTAGCTCTCAACCTATCCTCAATCCTTGTACTATACTATTTGGCTTGATGTCTCCGCATTTTGCTAGAAGTCCTCTGGTGCTCTTTTCTTGGGCATAAGAAGTGTAATAGGACGGTGTGCATCTATATTATTCAAGGGATTTGGCACTTGAGGTGGTAAGAAGGCATTGGACTGAGTCTTAATGGGTTGTTTTTCAAGATGTTAAGAAAAGAATATGAACCCACACGTGTTGGTGGTGGTTTGAAGATTTTCACAGGAAAATATTCTGTGATGAAGTCTGAGGGTACAAATTCTATTTGACACGATCTAGATGACCTCCTTAGAGAGTTCTTGACTATGATATCCAATGAAACATGAAAAAGATGAAAGAAACAAATCTATTATTCAATAGATAGGTATGTATTTATTGGAATCAGGATTTTGTAAAGAAACTTGCTAATTTGAAACTACTACAAGGCCTTTAGTTTCTGGAATTTTTTTTGTCATAATCTTAAGTTTTAGATTGAAATATTCAAAAGATGGAATCTGAATTTATTAGAACCAAAGTTTTAGTAGCTGCTTGCTATTAAACATGCTATTCAAGACTTTTAGATTTTATATTCTTTTTTAGTCTTGTACTTTTATATGCTTAGTTTTCCTTAAAAAATTTCAACATGCTAGTTTAGTCTGTGCTTGTTTTCTAGAACTGAGCCCTTCTTTGGTCTTACACATTTAAGTTTGTAGCTGATTTGGTAAAGTGCTAACTTTTCTTTTATATACAGGGGACTACAGTTTCTGTGAATAGGGAAATTACAGAAGTGAAAAAGCTGCTTCAAGAAGAAACTGAATTGAGGAAGGCTGCTCAACAAGAAGTAAATAATCTTAAAAGTCAATTGGCTCAATGGAAAAAGTCAGAAGTATGTTTTACATGCTTTTCATAAAAGCTTTTCTATTTTCCACCCACATCTTTCACTTCTGTGATCTAATTCATAGAACTTGAACTTTTATTTGTTAGGCATCAGGAAATTCTGAGATCTTAAAACTTCACAAAATGTTGGAAGAGGAGGGGCATAAAAAGGAGAAGCTTGAAAGCGAAATAGCAACACTACAAAGTCAGTTATTGCAATTGAGTTTTGAAGCTGATGAGGTATGGTTGTAAGATCTCCAAACATGTTTGTTATAAATTTCTTGGCACTCTTTTCCAAATGCTTTGTTTGCTAATTTTGTTGCATCTAAATTAATAATCCTCATGAACTTCTTTCGATCTTTTCCTTTCCCATAATCATTTATCTATGTTCGTTAGTTCAGGGTTCCCTTTTCTGTATGGTTTTTTAATCAAACTAATTTCTTTCGATGGTTGGTTGAAGTTGGTTCTTCTTTCTAGGTATCAGTTTCATAGGATGTAGAACTTTGTAGTGCCGCTGTGTGAATTAAGGGCCTCTTTCCTAAAAAAGAAATTAGGGACTATTATTTTATATGTTTTATCTTCCTTTAATGTAAGCCTTTTTTAGGGACTTCTCTTTTCTGGAGTAAGATATAAGAAAACAAAAGGAATTCTGTGATGTAGTTGTTGAAATTTTCAACAAGAGGAACATCCAGTTAAGGAGTTAACAATAAGCACTACACCGTTATTGTTCCAATTGAGAGGAAACCATGATTGTCAAGAATTTTCCAAACAGTCTTCAACTGAAAGTGTGTAATAGTTGAGCATTTTAACTGAAATTTTGTTTGCTGTTTTTAAGAGTGACCGTAAATAATAAGAAGCATATTCAGTGACTATAATTTGCATGATCATAACATGATTCTGGAGAACATTTCATTAGGTTCAATAGATTCTTAAAATTTCAGAAAATTATATCAAGGCAAATGGTTCTTCTGGCAGCTATTTTATCTACAAGGGAATTTTAACGGGAACTTTGCAAGTTTTTAATTGCTGTTCTCTCAAAAACAACATCGCTGGTTATTGATTAAATTGGGAGCCTCTAACTTGAAAA